ATCATATCTGAAACAACATAACATATTCACACTGTACTGTCTTGTTTATAATTTTAATTAGTGTTCCGCTTTTGTTTAAAGGAACTTCACTAAAGTCAAAATCCAAAAAAATAATATAATTTTGAAATTCTAACAAAGATTAACTAAGTCACTTGCAATAATATAATGCAATAGATAATAGAGCAATAAGTGAATTTGAAAATCCATTTTTAGCTCTAATCTTACCCGAAAGATTTGAGTTATAAGTGACTGTTAACTGTTATTCTGGAAAAACAGAGTGAGCCAATGATTGAAATTTTGCACACAAATTATTGGTATAGACCAATTAATTGTTATTTCTTTTGTTATTTCTTTTGTTATTTTCTTTTGTTTAATATAGTGCCATTGGCCCCATCTTCTATTGTTATAAAATTAACACTTTTGTTATATTTACTAGGGCCGGGAATTATATTCGAATATTCGAAACACTACCGAATATTCGAACATTGAAAAACGAATACGAATATTCAAAAAAAAAAGAGTGTTTTTTGTAATACTTTCAAATTTCAATTAAGATAGCAATCAAACCATTGACCTTTACGTGACCAGTTGTTCACACGTTTGTATGACACGTGTCAACGATTATCGCCAATTAACTGTGAAAACTTTGGGGTCTATAGTTGATCAAAAGGGCACCCGTTTTACAGTTTGCAATTTATCTGTTGAACAGAATATAATGTAAATTTCCGATTTGAATTATCTTATTTATTGTTTTCTGTGCAATATCTGTCCGATTAATCAGTCATTGTCTTAAATTTTGTGAAGACGAAAAAATCGACACGTATTAATGGGTGCTTTATGTAAGCATGGTCAGTGTCTATATTCCGTCAAAATATATTTATTCCGTAGAAACTAAGACTCCGTGCGATATTTACTGCGTTAAAGCTAAATGTATCTGAAGAATATTTTAAACCTTATCTGAAATTATAAATAAATAATATATTTAATTCAAGTTAGGTTTCAATGTAAATTATGTGTTTTGGGGGCTATGAAGCAACAGTGATTCATATTACTGTCAATCAAGTCACGTGATTAACCTATCGTTAATAAGACCATGAAGACAAATGATCAGCAGTCGGATTAACTGAACAAAAGGCAATCAAATTATGAATTTATTTCAAAAGTAAACATTTATGTCGATTTACAATATATACAATAAAAAACTTTAACGTAGCTATATAGGTATTTTTAATCGTCGATTATTTCAAACATATTAAAATTGTACAGTATTCGACGCAATCAATTTCGGATACGTATATGTCAAAGAGAAATATTGGAACAAACGTTGTAAAAACGAATATTCGAATATATTCGAATATGGAAAACGAATATTCGAACATCAAATTCCTTATTCGTTCCCAGCCCTACTATTTACAGTAACTGTAACTGTTCGATGACCCCTATTCTAATTAGGTTATGCAGACAGACTGACAATGGAGAAGTGATCCCTATATGTTACTGCTTTTCTGTAGTTGGCGGCACAAAAAAATGATACTTACAGTTTTTTGCGACAATAATTTGCAAAATATGGTGGGTCCCATGGCATTATTTCCTGAAAAAGTAATTTACAAAAACAAACATTATTATTCAAGCCTGATAGCTATTAGGGTGCATCAATAAATTCGTAAACTAATTCAATAGTGTCAAAACTACTGGTCCATTTAAAATGAAACTTTAAATGCTGTGAAAACAGAAAATTTCAAATTGAATCATACTACAAACACAACTTTTTAGACGTCATCACTTATGATGTCATAAACCATAACTGATGTCACATTTCGGCCGGCAGTTTGAAAATGGCGTCACACAGCATCAACAATCAGCACATCGTTACACAAAATTCGGAAAGTCTTTTTCCGACATTTGTGAAGATTTGCAAAAAGTTACAGAGAAGCTGCTCTGTCAAAAGGTGCTATTTCAAAGTGGATAAAGCGGTTTAAAGACGGCAGAGAGGCAACTGAAAGGGAAAGTCGCGCAGGTAGACCAGTGACTGTAACAGATGAAGAAACAGTGGCTGCCATTCAGGAGTACATACTCCGAGAGAAATGAGTAAGTGTGGAGCATGTAGCAGATGAGTTTGCTATTTCATATGGTACAGCTCAGGGCATTATGACTGACAGATAAGGAATGTGCCGCATTTCAGCAAGATGGGTGCCTTGTTTCCTTGACGTCAATGCAGATGGGGGTAAGGATGACAGGAGGTATCATGAAGAAGGCTATTACTTTCTAAATCAAGTGATAACATGTGATGAAATGTGGATTCACTTTTTGAACCGGAAAGCAAATGTCTGGAAGCATCCTTCCTCGCCTTCCCCTACAAAAGCGATAATTTCCAAGTCAGCCGGAACAGTTATGGGCATTATATTCTGTGATACATATGGTGTAGTGTAAAACCACTTTGCTCCTCTGAAAACGACAGTCGCTGGGAATTATTATGCAACATTACTAAGAACGGAACTCATGGTGGCAATAAGGAGAAAGGGCCCACAACTACTTAGGTCCGCATATAACATGATGGCGCCGAGCCATTCCATCCACTTTGTCATGGATACGCTTGAAAAACTCCTTGTCAAACCCTTCCAACAGCCCAGACCTAGCAATTTGTGACTTCTGGCTGTTTCCAACTTTGAAAACAGTCTTCGTGGTACAAAATTTGAGTCAAGAGAGGAACTGAGGTGTGCCGTGGACAGACAGCAGCGGGAGATGTCATGTGACATGCTACAACACATGTTCGAGTCATGGGTCGAGAGACAGTACAAGTGCAAATCATGCATGGGACGTAACTTTGAGAAAGACTAATCATTTCAAGTACTTGAATTAAATCATTTCCGCTCTATTGAATAAGTTTACGAATTTATTGATGCACCCCCTATGTACAGCATCTTCAATTTTCATTGGAGAATTATTATGTTTTAATCATTTATATACACAGTTGCTTGAATTAAAGATAAACTATAAATAATCATCTTTTGTAAAATAAATTTTCTTAGTGCAGAATTTTCTTTTAATTAGGAAAGTCATAGTTAAAATGTCTAAGTTGAATAAGAGAATGCATAAACTATGTTTAATAAGCTGCATTCTCTATTTCTGGTCTAGTTAATTTGGTCCGTTCTAAATTAAAGAAAAGATGCCATTTTTTTAAGGATACCAGGTCCTTATTGAGCAGTTGAAATTACTATGTGTACATTTATAATATCAAATTGAACCAATCAACATGGATAATGCATTCATGAAAATACCTACGTCATGTCTAACACTTATGCTATCAGTCTCTTTCTTTTCCATTTTAATGCTGCGCATAATTTCATACTCCTTCCGAGCTCTAAAAATAGCAACAAAATATGAGCATATTTAAGTTATTTGTATCAGAATATCTAAAGACAACATTCATAAAATATTGTGTTGCCAAATAAAATCAAAATCATATATAAACTAGAAATGTTTTCACAGTACACAGGAGCCCAAAATTTCCACTGTTTTATCACAAAGTCCTGAAAAATTACTGGTGCATCTAAACAAATATCATACTTTAAAATTTACATATGACACAAGTCTAAAAGTGCTATTACTTACTCTTTGCAAGATTAGGTGTCAACTTTAATGATCTTCAAAAAATGTGAGTAAATTTACACAGATGCATATGTTTACATGCTAACAACTATTCTTAGAACGTTCCATGGCTCAAGCAATGATATTTTTTTGATTTAATACAATACAAGTCTAAAAATGTTATTTTTTGCTTCATCATAGGGCATACCTATATCAATGATAAAAATATGAATAAAATTCATGACTCTATTATTTTGCCAAATATTCTTTTTTAAGTGAACAGTGACCTAAGTCGTACAGCCAAGAGCCACAGCCACAGCCAAGCGAATGCAAAACTTTTTTTTTCTACCGTCAAACACATTGAAGGAAGAATATTGTAGTACAGAATGCAATACATACTCATAGAAAACATATTTTTTCTAAACAAAGTATATTTTAAAATTAAAATTTGACTTTGACAGGTAAAGTCATTCAAAGGCCAACATCGCAACTGAAGTATCACCATCATGTCATTTAATTAAAGTGATTTTTTTGGCCAAGAATGAATGAAATCCATAAATAAATAACAAAATCATGACAATTTAAGCAAATTTCAACAATTTGACCTTCAGGGTGCAGGTCAATTAAAGGTCAAGGTCAAGTTAGTTAAATCTTCTTTAATGTCTTATCCCAAGGATTGTTGTACCCAAGTATGAAGACAATTACTTGAAACTTGAAACTAGCCAATTACTGCACACAAAAAATTGAATTTGATCTTCTTAAAAACATTGTCCTTCAGGTAGTTGTGTTCAAGTTTGAAAGTATGAAAATTTTTGTTTGTTTTGGGATTTAACATCATATCGACACAGTATAGGTCATATCGTGACGTTCCAGCTTTAATGGTGGAGGAAGACCTCAGGTGCCCTTCCATGCATTATTTCAGGCACGAACGGGCACCTGAGTAGAACCACAGACGTTCCATAAGCTAGCTGGATAGCTTCCACACATGAAAGAATCCAAAGTCCCTGTCGGGATTCGAACCCACAGCGGTGAGGGGCAAGTGGTTTGAAGTCAACAACCTTAACATCTCGGCCACGGACGCCCCCCAAGTATGAAAATAATCAATTCATAAAAAACAAAGTTATTATGGCCAATTATAACAAAAATCAAGCAAAATTCAAACATGTGACCTCGGAGGTCAATGCCATTTATGAGTGATGTTCAAGTTCAGTCTAGTCAACTTAAAGGTCTTGTGCCAAGGGTTGTTGGTGGGTAGTATAAAGACAAAACACCAAAAACTTAAAAAGTTGTGATCAATGTTAAAGTTTGAAGAAGGCAACAGCAACACTGCCATGACTGTAACAATACCTCTTTTTTTTTCTTTGAAGAAAAGTCTAGCAAGAAATTGTGACCAATGTGTTTTCAGATGGCAAAGGCAACAGAAACAGCAATGCCAATAACAATAGCTACTTTTTTCATCTTGAGAGCCAAGCTAAAAATTTTGTATTTATTCAGGAACACAAGCTTACCCATCTCTGATTTTTTCTGCTATGTTCTCCAAAAAATTCCAAACATTTTCTGAAATTAAAATAAAAAAAAACACATTTTTTCACAATTTTTTTTTAATTAAAAAAGAGTACCAAAATATTTGTTTCTTCACACTGATTTGTAAAGGTATGCATTTATTTGTTTAGAGTGTAATCATCTCCTCTAATGGATCATTCGGACCCTGAAACTCAAAAATCACCCACCTATGCTAACTAAATTTAAATCCCATCACAGATATTAAACTATTTCGTTATATAAAGTAAGTTAGCTGGATTGCGGTCTGATGTTCTGCCAAGGTACAGACCATGCAAGAAATAATGCAAGGCACAGACATAGTTGTCTTCTTCCACATGTAGAAGCTTGGAAGTCATTGAAAGTCTTATTTGACCCACTCTCAAGTTTGGTAACAAGTTTCCTTACCAAAGTAGGACACAAAGCAACAAACCTTTGTTTGAGAGAAAATATCCATTTTTTGAATGCCATGTTTGTTTTGGGTTTAATGGTGATGGAATAAGTTGATTATTAAAAAGAGTCAAGTGAATTAAGCAATTTTTAGAATACAAGTCTACTTTCGAGCCACTGTGAAGTCCCTGCTGATCAGTCGGTTATTTCTGTCATTGAAGCTAAAATTATGTAATACTAGAAATGTGTCATCATGCCACGGATGCCCCCGCATGCAGCCAAAATTTCAGATGGTGCATTAATTTTTTTTTTTCATTTTAAGTTCAAAGCCCTTAAAACTTTTCAATGTTAACACAAACCATTTCCATACAACGTTCAAGGCACTGAAATTATTCAGTCTTAACCTTTAGAAAAAGCATATTGCATATTTGTAGCCAAAATAATGGCTAAAAGAATGAGTGCTGAAACTGAAAGTTCAAAATTTTTCCAACATTCAGGAAAGATAAGTTTGTCTAAAATCATTGAACCATGACCAAATTCAAACTTAAACTGCTTATTCTTAAGATGTATCTATATTATTTTCAAAGTGAAAGAGACATTACTCTGCCAAAAAATCATCAAACCATGACCAAATTCCAACTTGACCTGCCCATTCCTTTGACATGTCCATATGTCAAATTTGAGTTGAATATGTAACACTGTTGGTTAGATAATGAACAGAAACTGTAAATTTCATATTATTTTCAAAGTGAAAGGGGCATTACTCTGCCAAAAAATCATCAAACCATGACCAAACTCGAACTTGGCCTGGGCATTCCAGAAACATATCCATATGTCAAATTTGAGTTGAATGTGTTGTACCATTGGGGAGATAATAAACGGAAACTGAAAATTTCATATTACTTTCAAAGTGAAAGGGGCATAACTCTGCCAAAAATCATTGAACCATGACCAAATTTGAACTTGACCTGCGCATTCCATTGACGCATCCATATGTCACGTTTGAGTTGAATGTGTTGTACCTTGAGGGAGATAATGAACGGAAACTGAAAATTTCATATTATTTTCAAAGTAAAAGGGGCATAACTCTGCCAAAAATCATCGAACCACGACCAAATTTGAACTTGACCTGCGCATTCCTTTGACGCATCAATATGTCAAGTTTGAGTTGATTGTGTTGTAACCGTTGGGGAGATAATGAACGGAAAACTGAAAATTTCATATTATTTTCAAAGTAAAAGGGGCATAACTCTGCCAAAAATCATCGAACCATAACAAATTCGAACTTGACCTGTATTTTCTCATAACATATCCATATGTCAAGTTTGAGTTGAATGTGTCCAACCGTTCTTGAGATAATGAACGGAAACTGAAATTTCAGATTATTTTCAAAGTAAAAGGGGCATAACTCTGCCAAAAATCATCGAACCATGACCAAATTCGAACTTGACCTGTATTTTCTCATGACATATCCATATGTCAAATTTGAGTTGAATGTGCCCAACCGTTCTTAAGATAATGAACGGAAACTGATGATGACGGAATGACAGAATGATGGAATGACGGAAGGATGGAAGGACGGAAGGACGGAATGACGGAACAGGGTAACACTATATGCCCCGGCCATTACATGGCGGGGGCATAAAAAACCTAACTAACCTAATTCAACCATCATTATCATTAAAATGCCTTTAGGTTTTCTTGATATATTGGTGTGATTTTAAAGAAAACAATTTTTATCACAAAACTTTCAACTTTATAAATTATTTTTATACGTGAGACAGGTATGATCTCATATTGATATACATTGTAATATCGAAAACTATACATGTAGTATATGTACTAGGCAGATTTGTTAAGCGATCTGAAAAATGACTTATCACACAAAGTGGGGACGAAGATCTACTAGTACATAAATGCTATCTCATAATCTGATCATGATCTTCACTGTTCACCTTCAGTCAGTACATATTTTAAATTTTCTCAAAAATTAAATGGATGGTTTTGTCGAGTTGGACAAATGAACAAGTCCATTTAAAACATTTAGGATGTTAAGAGTTAGATTTTTTGTATGCTGGTACTATCATTAAAGCAGCATGTCTCCAGATTCATGCTTATTTTCATAAAATTTTTGAAAATGTATAAAAAAAAGAAAAAAAGAACGTGTTTGTTAAACACAAATGCCCCCGGCTCAGATTCTTGTCAGTAGCAATATTTCAAAAAATGTTAACCCATTCACTCAGTTATGGACAGAAAAATTACCAAAAAATTGTAAACACAAGTTTTGACTTTGTAATTGTGAAAAATATAAGTTGCCAAGTCATTGCTCTGACTTGTGATGCTCTGACTTGTGAAGTTGAAAAATATTCAACTTCATGCAAGTTATCTTCCTACCAAATATGAAATACATCTGTCAATAATTAAAAGCTGTATGGGTAAAAGTGTAAAAATCTATTTTTAGCACAAGTGACCTTGACCCACTGATCCCTACCCTTACCAAAAGGATGGATACCATGCAAGTTATCTTCCTACCAAATATAAAACATATCTGTCACTTAATAGAGGCTGTATGAGCAAATGTGTAAAAATCTATTTTTAGCACTGGTGAGCTTGACCCAACTGACCACTGACTCTGTCAAAGTTTATGTTTCTATCAATTATAAATAACATCTGTCTATAGAATAAGGTCAATATACCTGATACCTGTAAAAATGTAAAAATCTATTTTTAACATTGGTGACTTTGACATTGACGTTGGAAACATTGACCTTGACCCAAATGACCCCTTACTACACCCAAAGAAGGAGGACCTCCCTTGGCATATTTGTATTAAACTAAGACATCAACTAAAAAATAAAGGCTGTATGAGCAAAAATGTTTTTATTTATTTTTCAAAACATTGACCTTGACCCTAGAGACGGCTTACTCCACAAAAAATTAGAGGACCATCAAAGGTATCCACATACTAAATATGAAAGATATCAATGAAGAAATTAAGCAATCAGGAGAAATTTAAGATAATCCAACTTGCCAAAATAAGTTAACCAGACAAGGCCCTATTTTCAAAGTGAACTATAACTGCCACTGTCATGGTGCTAATAACCCCCACATACCACTTTGTCAGAATCAACAATTAAGAGCTCAAGGACAACCTCCCTGCCAAATCTGAGGTTACTAAGCCAGTGCATTGCTTAGTTATGTATTCTCCATGGTCAAAGGAATCTCAAATTATTGGGTGGACAAGCTTTTTTCAATCAAAGCCCCTGTGACCTTGATCTTTGACCTGGTGACCTCAAAATCACCAGGGGTCATCTGCTAATCATGACTAACCTCCTCCATGGCAAATATGAAGACCTAGGGTCAAAGGAATCTCAAGTTATTGGGCGGACAAGTTTTTTCCAATCAAGGCCCCTGTGACCTTGACTTTTGACCTGGTGACCTCAAAATCAATAAGGGTTATCTACTAATCATGACTAACCTCCATGCCAAATACCAAGACTGTGGGTCAAAGGAATCTCATGTTATTGGGCGGACAATCTATTTTCAATCAAGGCCCCTGTGACCTTGACCTTTGACCCAGTGACATCAAAATCAATAGGGGTCATTTGCTCATCAGGACTAACCCCCATGTCAAATATGAAGACTGTGGGTCAAAGGAATCTCAAGTTATTTACAAGGAAAAACCGACAGACGCCCAGACATCCGGACGAACAAGCTGATTCCAGTATACCCCCCTTACAACTTTGTTGTGCTGGGGTATAAAAAAGGGAAATAATTGGGAAATATGGATGTCTTAGTTATATAACTTGGCAATATCATGTACTTTGTATTAATAAGTAAGTGTGGAAATTTTAAAGCCATTAGTATAGAATAGAACTTTTAAGATATTTTAAATTTTTCCCAACTTGCCCCGTTTTAGGTTTTAACCATTATTTGATTTTCTAAGTGGCGAAAGGGCAATAACTTGGTAAATATGAAAGCCAGAGTTATGTTACCCTTGCCCAGATTCATGTAAATTTTGTAATTTAATTAGTAAGTGGTTTGTAAACTTGAAGCCATTGGGAAACAGGGTTTGAAACTTAAGAAAAATAGCCAACTTTGCCCGTTCTAGTTAAACCTCGTTATGGACGTTCAACATTTGGCTTTAGGGGCTATAAAGGCTAACTATATGTTTATATAGCCCCCAAAAAATCAAAATGTTTTGCTCACACAGACCCGGACATCCGTTCTTACTTTGTATTCTTGTATTCTATTTACTGTGTAAAAAAAAGTATCCAAAAATCAAAGAAAATACCCAACAATAATGCAGAGTGAGTAGGATTTGGGATTTGGTTTTGGGGAATTTTTGTAACCAAAATATTTCCCTTTGGGGCCTCGGGGCAGAAAGGACCGAAAGGGTTTAAATTTTATATTGGCCCCGGGCATAAAAAACCTTTTCAAATGAACAAAAAGTAAATAACCCAATGCAAAATAGCATAAATTAAAACCACAGACGCTGAACACAGAAAGAAAATACAATATAAACATTTTTAAAAATTTTAAATTTTTGATAGTGTGTGTAGTCACGGGTTTTCCAAACCCTTTTTGTTACGGGGCAGGGGAAAATATGGTATAAAATAAAATAAAAAATCACCCCATACATTGCATAAAACATAAAAATAAATTTCAAAATTTTGGGAAAACTATCTTTTCTTAAACTATGCATTTTTTCAAAGTTGATTTTTTTGAATTTTTTTTTATTCATCTGGAGGCATGTAGCTAAGTTATAGGAATAATTCACAGTTAATAAGTAATCAAATTTGAGCATAGGCATATCTTTAACAACCGTCTGTTTCTGATTCAAAGACGAGAAAGTTAATAGCTCCAAATCATTGAGTTTTGATTTTTCTATACAAATTATCAAAGTACCGGGAGTCTCAGCAAGTGTTCCTTTAAGAGCTCTCTCTGCAAATGTTTTAAACCCGGTCATACTGGCAATGATCTGTCGACCTTCTAACATGTTACTTAGCAACAACTCTGTTCTTTCATTTGGGTACAAGTAAATCCTATATGACAATTCTCTAATCTGAAATTAAACAATTATGTCTATTTGTATAAAAATATTTATGTCTTTGCATATAACTGTTTATGTCTATTTATTTATGTCTTTGCATATGACTGTTTATGTCTATTTTTATAAAAATGTTTATTTCTATTGGCATTTAAATGTTCATGTTTATGGGTTTACAAATATCTTTGTCTATTTGTATGCAAATGTTAAGTCTATTTGTATAAAAAATGTTTATGTCTAACTGCATTAAAATGTTAATGTTTATGTGTATACAAATATCTATGTCTATTTGTATTCAAATGTTAATGTCTATTTGTATTCAAATGAAAATGCATATTTGTATAAAATGATGTTTATTTATAAACAAATATTTATATCTATTTGTATTCAAAATGTAGTTTATTTGTATTCAAATATTTTGTCTATTTGTATATAAATATTTTGTCAGTTTGTATGCAAATGACAATATGTTATGTCTGTTTGTATTTAAATTGCTGTTTGTATTTAAATTGTTATGTCTCTTTATAATCAAATATTATGTCTATTTGCATTCAAATGTGTAAGTCTCTTTGTATTCAAATGTCTTTTTCTATTTGCATACAAATTTCTTTTCAACCTGCCACCAAAAATTATTGCACTCAACGTTCATGTTCCCTTACAAAAATTTCCCTAAACATAATGAATGTACCTTTAGACAATGTACCTATATTTTAAGTTTTTTGTTGTTGTTATTTTCAAAGTTATTTCAATAACATGTTTGCACATCAACACAAAAAAAAGTTATTTACAGATCAATGCGTTAAAGATGAAAACGTCACAAGTTATGTAACATATATTGACGTAAACAGAGTTTTTTTTATTTCAAAGAAACACTTTTTTCAATAAATAATGAATTTGCAAACATCAAAGGTCTCTAGCCAAGAATAGGCATGGTTTTTCTGTTTTTAATTAGATATTTATATATAGATTAAATAATTAAAATGAAAAACAAGAACCCGTTGAACCAGGAGATACTCACGCAAGAATAAAGTTTTTTTCGAACACAGAAAAAGTATAGCTCGTTGTAGTTTCTAAGTTATGTCTGGAGAAGTTCAAAGTGCAATAATTTCTGAACTTAGGAAAAGACAGAGTTACTGTTCTTTGCACTGCTCATCTACCCAATGATATCTATCTACCTACAAAGTGTCTTGTTCATATCTATTATACTTTCAGAATTATGTCCCTGGACAAATGTTTAAAGTGTAAAAATAGACAAAGGGCATAATAACTCTCCAAAAATTAACGCAAGATAGAGTTATGGTTCTTTTGCAATGCACTTCTTACCCTATGAGATCTATCTATCTACCTATTTTTTAAAAGTTATATGTTAATATCTCTTCTAGTTTCATAGTTGTGTCCCGGACAAAGTGTTAAAATGAACAAATGGGTAATAACTCCAAAATTAAGCAAGGCAGAGTTGTATTTATTTACAAAATTAATGAATGTACTTGAATATACAATGTTTATGTTAATTTATAAACAGTCAATCATAAAACTTGGCCATGAACATGTAAAATGTTTATGCCAATAAACTATTTGACTTGCAATACCAGACCATTAAATGATAAATTTAAAGATGGTCTTTCTCACTGCAAAATAATACAATTATCTAATGGTTATTTAAGGGTATTAAACTAAATTAATCCCTGTGAACAAAAGGATATAACCTGATGCATAATGGTGTTAGTAATTTATGACCTGTGATGATTATGTTTTTCATAAGTCCAAGTGGTGTCCACATACTTTAGGCGGCCACTTAGACCTGCCATTCATTTATTTTGCAATCAATCAATTTATTAAACAAAAGGTAATTCCTTTATTCACCAGTAATTAGAAAATTAAATCTGCATTAACCAGCCCATCCAACTTTATTGCATAATGATTCTGATACAGTCAATGAAATTATAGGTAATCATATTATTTTCACATCTTTTCTCATGTTTATTCAATAATGTACCAACATTCTGTTTTGTACACGAGCATGAAATTCATACACACAAACTATTCAAATGTTTGGCCTATGAACCAATGCATGAAACAACATTGGTATTTTGTAAGTGAAAAATACAGACTGTCGACATATTCCTGCAGGCAAACAATGATATACTCATACAAGGTGACTGTGAAAATGATACATTCATAACAAGCTGGCAATTCAAATATATTCATACAAGCTGGCAATTCAATATATTCATACAAGCAACTGAACATATTTTCATACAATCAGATAACATTATATATTTATAAAAAGCAGAAAAAGCAATGGGAAGACTTACTGGCTCACCGAAATGCTCTGATTGCAAACTGTTCACAAATGTAGTATACCTTCCACATGAAGCCTGTAATAAAAGATTGTACATAAATCATATTCAACTACAAGACAAGCATATATTGTCATGAATGTAACTATGGTATCTATTTGCCTGCAAAATGAGTATACCACTTATTGAAGAAATATTAAATACATTGTAATTTATATGGTATCTGATCTATCTTTTATTGACATGTGATTTTTGTAAAATAATTATTTTCGAGTCAGATTAAAAAACAAGAGGGTCATGATGGCCCTGAAGTCGCTCACCTGTAAATGCCCCCCCGCGCCCCCCCCCGCCCACCTTCCCCCCCACCCCCGAGCAGGGCCAGTTTAAACCCCAGGGCTTTTTAATTTGAACAAACTTGGTAGAACCCATTAGAAGATGTTTTATGCTAAACATCTAAGGTCTAACTCGTTGGGTTTTTAAAAGAAGATTTTTTTTAAGTTTTTTCTTTACACATATATTAAAAAACAATGACATCCCTGGGGCAGGGCCAGTTTTGACCCCAGGGCTTTTATTTGAACAATCTTTGTAGACACTTACTAGAAGATGTTTCATGCTTAATAACTAAACTCTAGCTATTCAGGTTTTTTCTAAGGATTTTTAAGTTTTTGCTTTACACATATAAGGAAAATCAATGTCCTCAGGGGCGGGGCCAATTTTGACCCCAGGGCTCTTATCTAACAAACTTGGTAGACATCCACTAGAACATGTTTCATGCTAAATATCTTAGCTCTAGCTGTTTGGGTTCTTAAAAAGAAGATTTTTAAGTTTTTACTATATTCATATAGGGAAAATCAATGACCCCCTGGGGCGGGGCCAATTTTGACTCCAAGGCTCTTATTTGAACAAACTTGGTAGACATCCACTAGAACATGTTTCATGCTAAATATCTTAGCTCTAGCTCTTTGGGTTCTTTAAAAGAAGATTTTTTAAGTTTTTACTATACACATATAGTTAAAATCAATGTCCCCCGGGGCGGGGCCAATTTTGACCCCAGGGCTTTTATTTGAACAAACTTGGTAGCCACTCACTAGAAGATGTTTCATGCCAAATATCTAAGCTCTAGCTCTTTGGGTTTTTTAGTAGAAGGTATATTAAGTTTTTTCTTTTGGTTGCCATGGCAACCAGAGATCTGCGTGGAATTAAATTCTTTGAACAATTTTCAAGGGTGACCACCAAAGGTACATTCCTGTGAAGTTTGGATGAAATTGGCTTAGTGGTTTATAAGATGTCATTTAAAATAAAAGTTTACGGACGACGGACGAAAAGCGATCACAAAAGCTCACCCTGTCACAAAGTGACAGATGGGCTAAAAACAATGATTTTATCATATCTTCATTCTTGACTCATTTTCACTCATGAAAGTACATGTATAGCTTAAATATTTTCTAAGCTGAAGAGTTTTAAATCTAGTTTCCCATACAAGTAAATGTAACAAATGTTACTCAAGTCAGAGCAATTTTTGACCCAAGAGCCATGGTTTATCAAACTAATGATGATATCCATCAGGCAATGCTATATGTCAAATATCTAAGCTTTGAGAATCGTATTACACTTGATAATTGTGGATTACACTTGAAGGTATCTATAAGTACTTTGTGCTCAGATGAGCGATAAAGTGTACGGTTATATTAATTAAGTTTAAAATAAATTAAACATCAAGATCTATTAAGATAGGCAGAAGTAGCATTCATAAGATTTCACATGAAAGGACAGGACTGGCCAACCAACGAACTGACAAGCTGTCCCTAATTCCCTTTGTTTGCAGGAGCATAATAATGTATAAATATTGATTCCCCAGATGCAAATTTAACACAGCTATGAAATGGTTTGAGAGACTTTGAGGAAATGTAAAACTAGAATTTATCACCTGTAAACTTTTTCACATGAAAGAACTAAATCTCTCTGGAAGGATTCAAACCCTCAGTAGTGGGGAAAGTAGCTCAAAGTAACTTTATCAACCAGTCTGTAAACAGTGATATCCCAAAGTGTTCAGACCATAAATTTTATACCAAGGGAGGCAACACCTAAATTGTATACATGAATTCTTCCTCACATTGCACTCCCTTGATGTGTTAATAATTCTTGACAAGCATGATAACTTTAGATTAATTTACTAACCCGACCAAAATTATAAGGATCTTACATTGGCTGTCAATACAGACTGGAACATCTAGCCCAAGGATAACTGTTTAGAGCGGAAACAAGGCTATGCCGAGTTTCCACTTAACAGTTACCCTAGAGATAGATATTCAAACGAGAACTGTCGGAGGACAGTAACGCTCGACTATTCGAAAATTTGTCTCAAGGGTGTTTCATTGAGTATAATAATGCTTACCTATATGAATACATAAAATTGTACGAAAAGGTACAAACCCTTCAAGTTTCAATACAATCACAGAGAACAAGTGTGTGAAGTTTCAATCCATTCCCTTCAGTAGTTATGGAGATACCAGCTTACACACAAAAACTTAACCAAGAATTTATGAATCAAAAAAGGGGAATAATTATGCAAAAAAGCAAATCAGAGTTATGGGACTTGTGCCAATCATCTTAGATAATCACAGAGACCAAGTGTGTGAAGTTTCAATCCATTCCCTTCAGTAGTTATGGAGATATCAGCTTACACGCAAAAACTTAACCAAGAATTTCTAAGTCGAACAAGGGGCATAATTATGTAAAAAAATAAATAGGAGTTATGGGACTTGTGCCAATCATCTTAGATAATCACAGAGAACAAGTGTGTGAAGTTTCAATCCATTCCCTTCAGTAGTTATGGAGATACCAGCTTACATACAAAAAAAAGGTATTAACTTTATGCACTTAAATATCCATTATCTTTATCCAAAAATAGATGAAGTAAAACACCTGGTAGACAAATATCAAGATATAGACATTCTGGGACTACAAGAAACTTTTCTTAGTGATGTTTTTTCTGATTCAGAGATATGTTTAAAAAATTATCAACTGTTTAGACGCGATAGGATATCAAATGGTGGTGGAGTTGTGTTATATGTTAAGTCTACAATACCATGTGAATTAAGATCTGACTTAGAATCAGAGGATATTGAGTCAATATGGCTTGAAATAAAACTTGACAAACAGAAACCATTTCTGGGTGGGTTACATCTATAGGCCACCTTCATCACTGGCATCATGGAATGATAAAATTGAAGAAATCCTTGATAAAATATTTATTGAAAACAAAGAATTAATTCTTTTTGGAGATTTCAACTATAATTTTGTTACAAATTGCTCAAATAATACAAGGTGGAATAATATTATTAACACATTTAACCTTTCTCAACTTATAACACATCCTACAAGAGTCACACCATTGACTTCAACCACTATTGACCACATTTACAGTAACCAGCCACATAATGTATCCCACACTGCAGTCCCTATACTCTCTATAAGCGACCATTATCCTATATTTTTCACACGACGAACAATTAAAACTGTTATCAAGGTCCAATGCATGCCACTATAAAAATATAGGTACTTAAAGAACTTTAATGCAGAAAATTTCGTACATGAATTGTCAGAGCAGCCATGGTCTCTCATTGACATGTTTAGTGATCCAGATGATGCTTTAGATACATTTAACAAATTATTTTTTACAAACTTTAGATAAGCATGCTCCATACAAGCAGAAACGAGTAAAACATAGAAACCAAGCTGATTGGTTTAATGATGATATAGCTGATGCAATACAAAAAAGGAACTATGCAAAAAGAAAAATAATATTCATGACTTCAAATACTGGAAATCACAAGTAAAAACATTAACACATAAAGCAAAAACAGATTTCTTTGAACAAGAGATAAACTCAAACAAGAAAAACCCTAGAAAATTATGGAAAAACTTAAAAAATTCAATCTGGCAAAACAGAAAATCATCAAACAAACTACATAAATGATGAGAATGGTTCACCAATAACTGACCCAAAATCAACAGCAGAAACTTTTAACAACTTTTTTGCAAATATATTTAAAAAGGCTGAAAACATTAATGAATTATCAGATTCTATGAAAACCGCTTTAAATGATTCTCTGAAATCTGACACTCCAAATCATTCTTATAAATTCAAAATACCCTTTGTTGAAATAAGTTATGTCAAACAAAAGTTGGACAGTCTTGATATTACAAAAGCAACTGGTTTAGATGGCATAAGTGCAAAATTCCTAAAAACAGCTTCAGACGTCATTTGTAAACCTCTCTGTTCTGTAATAAATCTAAGTATAGAACATGGAAAATTCCCAACACAGCTTAAACAATCAAAGGTAATACCCGTCTACAAAAAAGGGTCAAAATCAGACAAAAATAACTATAGACCAATATCAATACTTCCACTTATTTCTAAAATATTTGAAAAGCATGTATCAGACCATTTGAAATGCTTTCTAGAAAATAATAATTTACTTTTCACTACACAGTCCGGTTTCAGAACAAGCCACTCCTGTGAAACAGCACTTACAAATATAGTTGATAACTGGATCAATACACTAAACAATGGCAAACTTGTTGGTACACTTTTTCTGGACCTATCAAAGGCATTTGACTTAGTAAACCATAACCTACTACTTGAAAAACTACCTTTTTATCATCTCTCTTCACAAGCTATAAATTGGATTAAATCTTATCTGTCAGACAGGTATCAAAAAGTAAATATTTCTGGTGTATTATCTGAACCAGCTGAAGTTGTCTCAGGTGTACCCCAAGGCTCAGTCCTTGGGCCCCTTCTATTCATTATATTCATCAATGATCTACCATTTCATATCAAACAATCATTTACTGACATGTTTGCAGATGACACTTCTCTTACAACTACTGGCAATACTTTACAAGAAGTAAACAGCAACCTTCAAAAAAGATCTTGATAATGTTAACACATGGTGCATGCAAAAATGCAATGGTTCTGAATGCTCAGAAATCTAAAGCTATGCATTTATCAATAAAAAGCACAAAAACAGATAATATGCAACCCCCTACTTTGTTTCTTAATAATCAAGAAATAGAATATACAAACACTGAAAAACTACTTGGAATGTATGTAGACAACAATCTTAAATGGAAAACACAGGTCCAGTCAACTATAAAAAAATGCAACTCACAGCTGTATTTACTTCTTAGACTTAAACAGTATCTTAATCTTCATTCAAGAAACTTTTCTTTAATGCATACATACTGCCTCACTTGGACTACTGTTGTAGTATTTGGGAAACTGCAATAACGAATTACTATCTGATGTCATTAAATTTCAAAAAGGGCAGCAAGAATACTCCTTGACAAAAATTTTGATACACCATCAAGTGAATTATTCAAAGAATTAAACTGGATGTCTTTTGACCAAAGAATCATATACAAAAAGTCAATTCTTATGTATAAATCAATTAATGAACCTGACTTTCCAACATATATGAAAAATAAATTCCAGACAGTAAATGAAAAGCACAACTTAAATCTCAGATCAGCACAAAATGCAAAGCTAATTATACCAAAACCTAAAACAGAATTCTTCAGAAAATCATTTGCATACTCTGGACCAAAAATATGGAATGACATACAGTACATATAAGAAATTCGACACTCTTCGGAAAATTTCAATCAGCTTATATCAAATGGCAGTTTTCACCTTAAACTAGCTGTTGATTTATTCCTGTTGTATAAATTACTTATATGTATTTTTATTATTACTATATTACTATTGTTATGGTTTCTTTTACTTTTGTCCCATATTTTCCAATAGGAAAGTTTATGATTCAATGATGCCAAATGATGATTTCCTACTCCAATTGAACTTAAATTTATGTATATATATAGATATATTATTTAGTAACATTTTAAAATAACTCATGATCGAGCCAATGTGTATTAGATAATAATATCACTTACATTATCATTGAATTTCCATGGTGTATTTTTAAGTATAAATATTGTTTTAAAAAGGAACTGAATATTGTTTTAAACAGGTACTATGTTAGTTTTACCTATCTGTACATATTGCTCTTTTTCTCTGTATTGTTGTACAATCATACCATTTTTTGCTTTATCAATCTTTACTTCAATTTAATTGATCTATTTTAATAATATTTGTGTATATATGTTGTGTATATGTTGTGTACATGTAAACTAATTGTAATTATGTTATGCTGAGGCCCACATGGAAGATCGGGAAACCGAATGTGTAAGCCTCGTTAAATAAAGTCGTTACTTACTTACTTACTTACTTACTTACTATACAAAAACTTAACCAAGAATTTCTAAGTCAAAAAAGGGGCATTTTTATGTAAAAAAGCAAATCAGAGTTATGGGACTTGTGCCAATCATCTAAGATAATCGCAGACAACAAATTTTTGAAGTTTCAATCCATTCCCTTCAGTAGTTATGGAGATATCAGCTTACACGCAAAAACTTAACCAAGAATTTCTAAGTCGAAAAAGGGGCATAATTATGTAAAAAAGCAAATCAGAGTTATGGGACTTGTGCAAATCATCTAAGATAATCACAGAGAACAAGTGTGTGAAGTTTCAATCCATTCCCTTCAGTAGTTATGGAGATACCAGCTTACATACAAAAACTTAACCAAGAATTTCTAAGTCAAACAAGGGGCATAATTATGTAAAAAAGCAAATCAAAGTTATGGGACTTGTGCCAATCATCTAAGATAATCACAGATAACAAGTGTGTGAAGTTTCAATCCATTCCCTTCAGTAGTTATGGAGATACCAGCTTACATACAAAAACTTAACCAAGAATTTCTAAGTCGAAAAAGGGGCATAATTATGTAAAAAAGCAAATCAGAGTTATGGGACTTGTGCCAATCATCTTAGATAGAGTTATGGGACTTGTGCCAATCATCTTAGATAATCACAGAGAACAAGTGTGTGAAGTTTCAATCCATTCCCTTCAGTAGTTATGGAGATACCAGCTTACATACAAAAACTTAACCACAGGGACGCCGACAAATGGGTGACTGCATTAGCTCGATTATTCTACGAATAGTCGAGCTAAAAATGCTTTAAAAATCATATCAGTCAAATGTACAAACCCTTTTAAGAGCTCAGGCTCTAGGTTGAAGTCCATCTTTGGGGTAGGTTGTTGGACTACATGCATAAAGTTATTACATATCCTCAGTAATAAATTATTCACTTGAACAAATTTCTTGCGCTGAAAAAAAAGAAGTATTTCATGAAATACATACTAAAAGAGAACAAGTTATAAATTAAAATAATATTGAAAAAATATGCCTGCTCTATCCCACAAATCATAATACTAAGCATGGTTGAGTGGTAAACATGTCAGACTAGATGTCAAATCGTTGCTCACTGGGGGTTTCCAGATCCCATCAGGGGCAAGCCGCCATTGCCATGAGCAAGAAATTTCACACCTATTGCTCATAATATACTACTCAACTTTTGCTAAGCACCATAACTTAATTTTCATATTATCCCAAGTATAAAACAGAATTCTTTCCAATTTTTGAAACTTCTGATTCAGCAATGTTTTGAAATAGTCCTTTGACATAAATCCATTTGACTTATCCTTAACAACATGTCTAGGTAGCATAGAAAGCATGCACCCCAAAATTTTCATGTTTTGATGGATGGTACATCACAATGTCTTTTGTTATACGGCGAAATTACTGGCATGTTGTAATTCAGTGACTTACATTTCTTACATCTGTCACTTCAATATGGCAAATGCTAACATTAGGCGGCATTTGAGAGAAGCAAAGTTATGTAGGACTGTAGGGATGGTGCAGCAGGGGGCAACCTTTCGCCAGGTTTGTGCGGCGCTTAGTGTACACCATATTGTCATCACCAGAGCCTGGGCGAGATACAGGCTGCATTTATTGCTGAGTATGAGTCTGGGAGAGATACTGGCTACATGGTACACCGCCAGGAGGCATGCTGGAGGTCGACAAAGAGTCACAACACCAGCTCAGGATCCATTTTTGGCCATTCAGGCATGTCGTGATAGGTTTTCGACAGCAACTTCTCTTTGAAATGACCTTGCTAATGCTGCTGGGGTCTGTGTTTCCACACAGAGGTACTTACAAGGCTGCACGAAGGTAATTTGCAGTGGAGAAGACCTTGCATACGTATCCCCTTGTAGCGTCAACATCGCCAGGCCCATTTGGAATAGACCATGGGGCATACACCATAGACCATGCAACACTGGAGACTTGTTCTGTTCACTGATGAGTCAAGGTTCTGCCTAGACTTCACAGATAGGTGTGCTACAGTCTGGGAGAAGACAAGAAGAATGGTTTCAGGCTGCATTTATTGCCGAGTATGACCGAAACGGAGGTGGGTCATTTATGGCGTGGGAAGCCATTAGCTTGAATGGACGAACTGACCTTGTTTTGCAAACTAGAGGCACATGGACAGGTAAGCCATACATAGACATTTTAGACAACCAGGTAAGGTTGTATGCTGGAGCAGTCGGTGATCAGTTCATTCTAATGAACGATAAAGCTTGCCCCTATAGGGCCAGGGTGGTCCAGAACTACCTGGAGAGGGGGTCTATTGAGCGCAGGGACTGACTGGCCAGCTCGCTCAACTGACATAAATCCAATAGAATACTTGTGGAATGAACTGCATGTTAGAATTTCAGCTCGTCAGCTGCAACCAAGAACCATCCAGGAGCTTGGAGTCATGTTGGTCCAAGAATGGGCAGACATTACCATAAGAATGATTAGAAATCTAACAGGGATTATGAGTAGGTGCTGCCAAGCTGTCATTGATAGACAAGGGTCACACATACAGTACTTAATCTAAAACTGAGAACAAACCAAAAAAAATTAACAAAATTGAAAAACACGCTGCATATTCTGATATCTTCAAAGAGGAAGGTGATCTTCTTCTGTAGCCCAAAATCAGTGTAAAACTCTTTTATAGGGTAAAATTCAACCTTCAGCTAAATTGATAAAACAGTAAATCAACACTTTAAATCTTTCTCACAGTGTCAATAAAATTATCCCAAAAAATATTCACATTCATACATATGGTGCTTAACAAAAGTTGAGTAGTATATATTATAATTATTTCTAAAGTATATATCATAAATAATTCTTTAGGCTTATAGCTTCCAACACTATAAAACAAATTCTGTATAAACTTAAACATAACTTAAAGATTTATGCTAAATATTTTAAAGCAATAAGTAATGAAATATTTTTATAAATCAATAAATAGTTAAATGTTTCCATAATCTTATGGTGAACTCTCAAATGTCTCCAGATTTAAGGATATATTAAATACCTTGCAGGTATTTTCGCATTATTATTTTGTCAAATTAAAACAATTTTTTTTTTATAAATACAGACAGCACATTTATAGCTTGATCCAGTAATTTTCATGTATTTTTCATGTAACTTAATACCTGGCCTTCCTCTAAATGTATACCACTTTGTTCAAAATCAAACAGGAACAATTTGGATACTCTCTTGTCAACCTCAGTCAATTCCTGAACATCTCCATGTTCTACCACAGACTTTAATGTTCTATACATAGAGATATTTGTGTTGAGTCTAAAAATAAACATAAAAACAACACTGTAACCATATAACTGATGTTATATCATTTTTTCAATCTAAAAAGAAACTTAATATTAACACTGTAACCATATAAACGATGTTATATCATTTTTTTCAGTCTAAAAAGAAACATTATATGTTATTTTGGTTTTGGAGTGATCTATGTGGATATATTACCTGTTAAGATTTTATATCACCCGAGCCGTTAGGTGTGGGTGATATTTTATCTTGGCAGGTAATATATGGATCCACATATATCACTCCAAAACCAAAATAATAATTTTATTACCCTTCCCCTGCCAAGTTTAGACAATTTTAAAAAAATCATTGCTGTTTCAAATTAAAAGTCGAAATAAGATTCCCTTTAGGGTACCTCTTCGTCACAACATGATGTCACATAAATACATGACGTATTTTTCCCATACCTAACGAATGAAAACAAGAGAAAAGAAGTACTCTATTGAACGCACTTTTTTGTAATTAATATCAAGATTTCACAAGGTCATACTTGTTTTCAATACTGATGGTAATATGCATCATTACTCTATTTTGGTAAATATTTATCATTTGACAGTTCAAAAGTGCTTGTAAATAGGAATTTACACTGTGCAAAATCGAACCGTGCATCACCTCAGCGCGTTGGGTACCCAAAGGGGAAATTTATTGTGTATATTACCCGTCTGGCTCAGTTATATCAATTTCTTTCAGGTGATCAATATCCAATCACAAGAGCAATCAGTAATCACATGTGTCGCCTCATGATGGCCAATTTCATGTTTGGACAAATTTTGAGACAGACAGACAGACAAACGGACAGTGCACAACTAGACTTGGTACTGATCATTCCTGTAAAGTTTGGATGAAATTGCACCAGTAGTTTATGAGGAGTAGTCCGGACAAGCTTTTGTGTATCTGGCAACACACAGAAAAAGAAACCTTTACATGTATATCAAAGGGCCATAACTCGGCCAAAAATCATTCAACCGGAAAACCCGTGCATTATGCTTAAGGACTTGAGCTACAGATCAATCCTGTAAAGTTTCATTGAAATTGCATTAGTGGTATAAGAGAAGTAGTCCGGACAAACTTTAAAATTAAAAATTATTAAATGGCCATAACTCTGACAAAAATCATTGAACCAGAAAATGCTGACAATATGCACAACTAGACTTGGTACTGATCATTCCTGTAAAGTTTGGATGAAATTGCACCAGTAGTTTATGAGGAGTAGTCCGGACAAGTTTTGTGACTGACGGACGGACATTCAGAGAGACAGACAGACGGACAGACAGACGACGGAGAAGTGATCCCTATATTTCGCCACTACTCCGTAGAGGCGACACAAAAAAGGCGGAAACAATCTGGAAGGGTAATAATATATTATATTAACACTGTAGCCATATAACAATGTTCAAACCTGTGAACAAAGGCCACCCAAAGGAGAGACAAATAATTGTCGTTATAGATAAGTGGTCTTTATTTGGAGGTTACTTTATGCCATTTTATCAAAAAAGTGGCTTTTATTTTCAGGGTTATATATACAGAATTTATTGTCATCTTGTGTTATGAAAATTATCATATTTCACTTGTGGCTACCACCACTAATGGCATACTTATTTTCATACCACTCAATGTAAATGAATCCTGTATAATATAGAACAAAACAAGAATATCCTCTATGTATCATTGTATGAATTAAAATAAAAAACATTTTTTAAATAGACAATTGATCTTAGTAACTTCAATAACACCCTGAGAAAGAAAAGACTTACTGTTCCACTAGGTCAGACATTTTTAGGAATGTCTTTTCAGCAGCATTTCTGTATTCCTCTGAAGGATGTGAAATTCTTAAAAACTCCATCTGTATAAAAAATATCAGCTTCAAAATTTAAATCTAAATATCAGCTAAAATACTCTGTTCATATAAAATATCTACTTAATAAAATTTCTACTTAAAGCTCCATCTCTAAGTACATATAATCATATCAACTAAAATAAAGGATAAATGGGCTGCGTCACGACAAAACCAACATAGTGCTTTTGCAACCAGAAGAATCCAGTTCAGCCTGCGCATCTGCGCAGTCTGATCAGATTCCAAGCTGTTCGCTATCAGTTTCTCTACTTGTGATAGAGTTGGTAAGAGAACAACATGGATCCTGGTCTGGATCCATGCTGGTCACAAACACACTATGTAGGTTTTGTCATGACGCGGTTCAAATGTAATTATATACATGTAATCTTACAGATGTATTGATGGCTTAATTTTGAAGTCAACGGCTTTAGTTAACCATCATCCTGCTGTTTTTGTTTAAACAAGTTTCCAGTTTTCCAGCTTTGTATTTGAAACAATCTGTTTACAGCAGTATCCTAGATTCAGTGTAACAAGAGCTGTTGGTAAGACAGCACCCAAAAATTTAACCAAAGTGTCAAGGAGACACCTGAGTACAATATTTCTCCCTATTCTTCAAATAGTCTACCTAAAAATACTGAAACAGTCTGTTTATAGTACATCTAGTATCTAGGATTCAATTTAACAGGAGCTGTCACTATTCTCAGTGCTTAAATGTGAGCTGATACCAATAAA